CGCTTTGAAATTTTGAAAAAGCTCTATCCTTACGTTTCTACCTTCAAATTTGGCTTGGAAGGGTGATCTAAACTGACTGAGTGGGAAATCTTTACTCTGCTCCATCAGATATTGATCCAGGATATCTTGGATCTTCGGTAACCGCGTGAGTTTGTTCCAGTGTTGCTTCTCTTTTTGGTCGTGTTAATTCGCTGTGTTTATATTTTTATTCAATATTGTTGTATTCTCTTTTGTATTAACTTGTTTTGACTACTTATTCATTTTAAGCCGTCATACCTGCATTAGTTTGGTCAGTTAATCCAACCAAACTACCTATCTTTATTATTCTATACGGAGCTGTTACGTGCTATTTGTAATGACATCGGTGGCTGGCTATAAATGTGGTGAGCACACTTGTGGCGTTGAGGTCAAAGAGGGAATCCAGTGCGACAGGTGCTTGTTATGGTACCATAACAACTGCTCTAGATTAGACCAGGACTCTATTGATCTTTATGCCCGACATTCCCAATTAAAGTGGATTTGCTTCCACTGCGTGTGCTTAGCAGACATTGGTTCTCGATTGATACACGATCGGACTTTTGATTCAGTTACTCATGTCTCAGATGTGCATGAGTCCGCTAGTAGGAACTGTGTGCATAGACTAGACAGTGCCGAGAAGTTGATTCGTGACCAGAGCTTGCTAATTGAGACATTGCGTTCAAAAGTTGAAGAGTTGCAGTCTTCATTGGAATGTTACTTGTGACGTGCTGAACTTGCTATGGGTAGACAACGAAACGTTCTTATCTACAATAGGGAGGAGCCAGTCATACGAGAAACTAGAACTCGACGGGACCTAGACAGAAGGCGAGTGCACGATATCCTTCGTATAGCCGGAATACCGTTATACGTTGGTATCAAGAGAGTACATCGTGTTGGCAGCTGGAGAGAAACAAGTATGCTCCTCCACCAAGGTTATGCAAGGCCTATCCTGGTTGAGTTTCGGAACTTTATACACCGGGACCTTCTACTTAACAGGGCTGGATTGGTTGCAAGTCAGACAAATGGTCGGTATCAAATAGCACCGGACACACTAACTTCGAAGGCTAAAGCCCCTCGGCTGAGCCGGTTAGAAGATACTAGTACCAGCTTGGCTAACGAATCTGCGGTCTCACACGTTGGAATTCATGATAGTGAGCCTCACGTTATGCAGACGCCTAAGAAAAACTCTAGCGTTTGCTCTCCTGTGGCAAGAGCAGTCAGCTTGTCTGGACAACCCCCTTCACAGGACGCCAGCGAGATAACTCCTGGCCTGCATTTGGTTATGGAGAAACTTGCTCTTGATGGAAACGTGAATCACACCTCTATGGCGGAAGAGGGCATTGAAGGTGTGGCAATGGGACTTCAGCCGGTGCGTTCAAAAACAATCGAGGCCTCATGCTCGACAGTAGTGGCACCAAAGTCCATGGGTGGTATGCCCTTTTCACAAAATGCTAGGATAAATGAAAAACTTGCCACACCTAAATTGGACCGTGCAGATAATCCGAAGTGCAGTGCTGTTAGGTTGACTCAGGTAAATGGGAGGAAACCCATCGGGAGTTTATCCAGCAAGCCCAGGCGGGCGAAGCCAGGAAAGGGATTATCCCGTAATGCGTTACAGCAGCCCAGCGTTGATTCATCGACTCAGGCAAGTGATCGAAATGAAATGGTACAAAAAAACGGGTTATCCCCTCGGGCTCTACGTCCGAGGGGAAACAACCGCGTTCGGAGAGACTAAGCGTGTGGTACACTAATTGTTGTAGTGTGCGTAACAAATGGGGGGAATTAGGGACACGTTGTGAGCATGTTGATGTGGCCGCTGTGTCCGAGTCCTGGCTCTCTTCAGATGACTTTATTGATGATCTGCTTATAGACTTTGCGTGCTACAGGGCTGACAGGCCCGGGTATCAGACCGGTGGAGGAGTACTCTTGCTTATAAGGTGCCAATATAAACACTGGGAGGCTCCATTTACCATGAGTTCTGCTAATGTTCAGGCGGTTTCCTGCCATCTAAGAGCATGGGGTAAATTGGAGATTATAGTATGTGTTTATCGTAGCCCATCGTCTACCCGAGAAGAGGACAGGGATCTTGGTATGTTACTAAGACAGGCGGCAATAGCCGCACCTAATTTTCTGATCGTCGGTGACCTAAACCTTCCGCATGCTGATTGGCAGCATGCTGAAAACAGAGTGGGTACTTTAGAGAAGGAACTAGTAGATTGGATGCACGTAAATGCCTTCGAGCAATACGTCAATGTCCCGACTAGAAGTCGTACTGGGAGTACCCCTTCAACCCTTGATATCGTGATCGCCAGACATGGTCACTTAACTGATCTATGCGTGGAGCCACCCATAGGTAAGAATGATCATTGTGTTTTGACCTTTTCTCTGGACACACCGAGGCTTGCAGAGAACCGTCGAATGGGAAGAGATTTAAATCGTATTGATTTTACGAAATTGTGGGATCGAGCCCTTCAAATCACTTGGGTCCCTGAACAGGACAAGGCCACTTTGGAACAGAGGTGGCTTCTACTTAAAAGTGGACATGTACAGTTGCTGAATGAATTTGCTCCTCTTCGCCCTAGGAGATATCTTGGGAAACCCCGATGGTGGAGAAGAAACATTGATAGAGCGATAAAGAGGCGCAATGCTGAGTGGAGAAAATATCAAGAAATTCGGGGCTTTCGACGCTGGCTGCAGTACAAAATTTTGGCTGTCAACTGACTGCGAATAATAGAACGCAAGATCGGTCTATACGATGCAAAACCGACTTGCACTACTGTTCACCGAAAGCTACGGCAGTGTTCCAGCACGTGGTGGGTTTTCGCCTGGCAAGCGTTCTCCCTATAAAAAGCCACAAATGTCCGCTTAACAACACTGCAACGTGGCGGATGTGACTCGCCACAAAATAAAGTCACAGCTATGCATTTCACACTGACGCAGTCCTCAGCCTTCTACATCGAACCTGTGCAACTATTCCTGCTATGAACAATGCTTTGTTGGAGCACAGATCATCTCTATCTCGGATCACTACCTGGCGTAATTACCCCCAACTTGTGTTTTGACGGATTTTTGCGCGCCACAGCGCCATAATGTCCCTGGGTCTGACTTTTACCTGACAGTATGCTCACTCATACGGACAACATCTTTTCTTTTCTTTTATAACTTTCATAAAAACGAAATGTTTTAACATTCCATAGAAGCTATTCTTGTATGCATATTTGATCACGCCTTTACAGGTGTGTCTCGTTTTACCGAGAATATACTATTTATTTATTTATTTATTTATTTATTTAATAGGTGTCGAAACATGGCTATTAAGCTACAGCGGCAGGCGAAGTACTCATATGAGCTTAGGTTGGCTAAAATTGCGAAAACTAATCCCAAGTGTTATTACAGTTATGTCCAGTCAAAGGCTTCCTTAAGAGAGGTGGTCGGCTGTCTAACCATGGAGGACGGTACCCAGGCTGTAGACGACGTCGATAAAGTAGAAGTGCTGCTACGTGTCTACCAAAGCCTGCATCGGAAGGATAGTGGGTCAGCCTTGCCATCACTACCGCACTGCTCAACTAGCTACACAATGCGGGAAATTATTCTCAATGTGTCAGAGGTCTTCACAGTGCTGGCCAATTTGAACCCTTATAAATCAGCCGGTCCTGATAGCGTACATCCCGCCATAGTTAAGCCTCTAGCTGATATCCTCCAGTATCCCGTAGTGGAGTTATTCAACCAGTCTCTTCAAGAAGGCAAGCTGCCACGTGATTGGAAGGGGGCGACTATGGTTGCCATCCACAAGGGGGGTTCTAAGTCGGTGCTTCTTAACTATAGACCTGTTAGTTTGACCAGCATCATGCTGAAACGCTTGGAAAAGCTTATAAGGAACAGGATCTGTGAGCACTTGACTGAGCACAATCTAATTAGAGCGGAACAGCATGGCTTTCTCAAAAAGAAGTCTTGTCTTACCAATTTATTGTGCTTTTTGGACGAGATTACCCGTTGTCTTGATGGTGGGATATCGGTAGAGGTGTGCTATTTAGACTTCAGTAAAGCCTTTGACTCCGTGAATCATCGATTTTTAATTGAGAAGCTGACATGGTTTGGATTACATCCTCAACTACTACTATGGCTCTCTGAATTCTTACGTGGAAGGACATTTAGAGTCAGCGTTGGGGAAGCGAGTTCTAGTGTTGGTCATGCCTACAGTGGTGTCCCCCAAGGTTCGGTTCTGGGTCCATTGCTATTTCTTATGTTTATAAATGACCTGGCTCCTCTTCTTGAGGACCCCTGCTACATCTTCGCAGATGACTTGAAGCTGGTCAGTAGGGGAAACCGTACGACATTGGCTAAAGACATCCTCACTGTGGTGAATTGGTCAAGTCAATGGGACCTACCTCTAAATGCCAACAAATGTCAACTATTGACTAGTAGTGGTAGCGGAATTGCAGTTCAGTCTCCTGTGGGATTTCTATCATTGCGGTGCACTGACGAAGCCCGTGATCTAGGTGTCATCGTAGCGAACAATTTTAAGCCTTCGGCACAGTGTCGCCATGCTGCCAATAAAGCACGACACGAATTATTTCGTCTTAGGAGGGCGCTGAGTAACACTAAAGCAGAAGTATTCTTGCCCTTATATAAAGCAGTGGTCAGGCCACATCTGGAGTATTGCGTTCAAGCCTGGTCACCGTACCTCCGTAGTGACATCACTTGTATAGAAAAGATTCAGAAACTTGCGACCAGGATGATTGAAGGTCAACGAGGGAAGTCTTATGAAGATCGTCTAAGTAGCTTAGGATTATTTTCCCTGGAACGGCGTAGGTTGAGAGGGGATTTGATAGAGACGTTTAAGATCATTAAGGGACTTAGTGGTATTAGTTCCACCCATCTGTTTGAACTGGCTACGTCAGACCATCTGCGCGGGCATCGCCTGAGGCTTAACCATCACAGAGCTCGTTTGGACATCAGGGCAAAGTTTTTTACGAACCGGGTAGTTAACTACTGGAATAAACTCCCTTCTGATTTAGTGGAGTCTGAGACCGTAGTAGCCTTCAAAAGGAGCTTAGACAATGGTTGGTCCATCCTTTTTCCAGAAATATTGTAGTTGTACTTTAATATGTAGTGTATTTTGATGCTGGCATATGGAAGTGCAGAGATTGCTCTTGTTCTTGCTTCATTCCATTGCAGAAGTAAGAAGAGACAATCCAACGTCGAAGTGCCGGGGGCCGCTTCACTTACCGGCACGAGAACTGGACGCTCGTAAGGCGGAAGCCTCTATCGTCCATCTGACCTGACCTGACCTGACCACTCGGGACCAGGACTCTCACATTCTGCGGGAACGGGTTTGTGGGCCAAGATCAACCGGCACAGCCGAGAGTATAATGGTAGCGTAGGATACTGATATGTATTTAAATAATTTGTATACATTATAAATAAACCAGTAGCGGATGTATAAAGGAATCGGGTCCTGTAGCTTTTATAGTGCTACAGTTTACCGTAACCTTGGTACCAGGTGCCCAAAGTTTCAAATTTCATAAATGGGTCTAAATTGGACCTAGGTTATTGGATAAGTAAATAGTGCACTCAGCTAGTCAGAAAATGTAGAATAGCCACTTTAAGGTAGTATCTAAAGAGTGATACACTTAGATGGAAATGGAAATGAATACTTTGCTTACCTCACATGCTCCTATGTGATTTCATTTTTGAGAAACGACTGGGCACAATGGTTAGCGT